AATTAAATTTGAATTTCCCGCAATTTTTCAAAAATAGTTCCACTCAGAATTACAGATGGAGTTGCACGCTTTTATTACAAAAATAGCTCCGAACATGTGCCTCTATTTCCTAATGTACTCTGTGGTGTGCTCTTAAATAAAGACACTCGATTGATTTTTGCTTAATCGATCTTCTCTCATCTATTTGACAGGCTCCGACACATAGAGTAAGGTAGAGTGGAAATATTTTCTATGGTTATATAAATATCATGCAATCTGAAGTTGACATCAAAAACATCATATTATCTTTTTTTAACTAATAAGAAGTTTCTTTAGTAAACAAAGATCGCACTAGTGTGACAGTTCAAAATTTTTTACGTGACGTCATGAGATACCTATAGCTATCGTACCACCTGTCAGCCATTTGCAAATTTGCTGTGCGTATTCTCGAAAGTAGTTCAGCTGTCAGTGTTATAAGTTTTGTGGTTATTTTCATTTATAACTTTAATTCATATAACTTTCATGGCAGAAAATTGTAAATTATTTATGCAAAACAATGCCTAGGTGCTGTATAATTGGTTGTGCGTCATCAATATCCCGCAAACCGAGCAATATTACGTTTCACCGGTAAGTTAAACACTTTCTTGGAATAACAGTATTTAAAACGTAAGTAAGTTATTCTGAAAATGATTGCGTGTATAAATCGATACATATCGTATTTTGGCGTGTTCTATTTATGCTATATTGCTCTTTTCGTTTATATTTTTATAATATTTCGGTCCGTAAATAATATTGTTTACATGGCTAGTGTTGTTACTTTAACATATGGTTTATATCGATAATTTTAATATTTAAAAATATATTAATTATTTTAGATTACCAAAAGATGAAACAAAAGAGGAAAATGACCGAGTTACATAGAAGCAGAAAATATTAAATGTAATGAAAAAGTTACTTTTATCTGCTCACTTCATTTTAGGAAAAGTTGTTTGAATCGAACTTTAAATATAATAAAATTACGAGATGATGCATTACCAATCAAATACTCTGGTAAGAATTTTTGACAATTGCTTTTAACTTATTTAAAAAAAATGTCTATTACACTTAGTTAATTTTCATTTGATTTTACTGATTTATTTATTTAGTTTTTTATATAGTCATTTTGTTATTCTATAAATGTACCTTATTTTTAGTCTTGCGGTCATATGACGACTATTTTAATTGAAAAAAATCAGAATGCAATATATAATAATATTAAAATATAAAATTCTGATCATAATATACTCCCAGTAAAATATACAATAAAATGAGTTAAATAATTTTAATAATAATTAAAATATGCACACTTATCAAATTAAAGGCATAGTTAAAGGTTTTCTTTGCTGTTCAATAGTATAATCTTAATACCCAAATAATTATTTTGCGGCGTGGATGTTTATTTTGCTGATGCATCATAAAATACGCTACCTTTTTGTATTTAAATTGCTGGCCGTTATCATGATTGTTCACAGAACATGAATTGCAGACTGTTTTAGTGCTGAGAAAATATTTGTATGCTTGCCCATTGATTAATCGGTTGTTTTCTTCTTCGGCTTCGGCTAACCAAATTTTTAAATAAAATGCCAAATGTTACTTCTTTAATCAACTTTGTTTTCTTTATTTTCTCTTGTTTATTCATCAAAGTTTAAAGTATTTTTATATTCTTTTACCAATAATATAATAGAAAGATTATGTAGGTGTTTCAAGTTTTCTATGTTTACTACTAAACAAGATGTTCTGAACTAAAATTGTGACACAGTACGCACGGTATCTCACTTGATGAGGAGTAAGCGAAATTTATTCAGTCAAAACAATTTATTGAATAAATTTATAGACAAGTTGGCTTACTAGTTACAAGCATATAAGAAAGACGAAACTCTGTGCTTATAGTTCAGCAATCTATTACGGGAAACCTTGTACCGAGAAAAGAAGAAACTGTAAGAAAGGAACCGGTAAGAAACTGCAAGGGCTGCTTTTGCACCCTGTTAAATTTCGTACTGAAAAATAAAAAATGACTTCATTGGACCAAAATGTCACTTTCCATCTAAACAATAAAAAATATATAACAGACAAAAAAAACATAATAATTCATTCGTCAATCGACTCATTAAAAGCTTATTAAAGTTACCGTGGTAGTTATCTTGGACAGTAGTCACACTTCCCGTGGATGCAAAATTAAACTTATGTTAAAAAAAACTATTTAATTATAATTGCAAAATGTCAACTTGACAATATATATGGAAATAATTATAAAACACGATTGATATTATTGTTAAACTTTTAAGATATATATTTTGGTACTATAGTTCTTAAAACTATGTAAAATTAGCTATTTTAGAGGAAAAAGAAACATATTTATCGAGGTACAATCATATTATAAAATTATATTATTAAATAATATAAATGTGAAAGTTTGTGAGGATGGATGTTGGATACTCTCATGTAAAAACTACTGAACGGATTTTGATGAAATTTGGAATACGAATAATCTTTTACCCGTGGGAAGCGCCATCATACGCTGGTAACATAGGTTATATTTACTATACTGACGCAACGGAGTCGCAAGAACAAAGAACGCAAGAAATTTTAGATGTCCAACAAAATACGAGCAAAAGATTGCTTAATGATTTATAAATAATTGATAAAATCACGCCACTTTTAACAAAATATTATTTTCTTAAAACGGGCGTGAATTTATCAATTTAATTAATAATAATCATAAATAGGATTGGTACGTAAGTGTGAAATGAATAGAAGTGTAATAGGTAATAGTTTAGCCATGCCCCTAACAATGAAAATTATATTACATTATTTAATAAGTAGTAGTATTGTAGCAGTTTCACGAAATACTAACTTTTATTTAATATGACTTCAATGTCGATACAAATATCGATATCATGGGTCGCGCCCTATGACAATCCGCCATCGAAGAATTTGCATTTGAAGTTTAGGCATATACGCTTTTTTCGTAGGTATGGCCGGTCCTCTTCTTTTATGTCTATGCTCTGACACAAATCGGTTATCAAACAAACTATTTGCCATTGATCAGAAACTCTAAGTGACATCCCTAATGACTTCGAATTAGTGTCGCCAGTATCTTGTTATCAAAAGTTACGTACGGCTTTTTAAAAATATGTACATAAATATACTTATTATGTAAACATCCTGCGAAGTTATATTACATCCATATGTTACGTAATACGTTAGATTTATCATCCTCCAAATCAGAGACTTTTATGTATACTACTGTTAGAAAAGCTATTCTGAACAAAAATTTTGACAGCTGCTGTATCGCTTATTAAGAAATAAACAGCGATAAACCAAATATAGAATCTTGTTATTAAATTCTTCAAAGCGATCTGAAAAGTCCCATTTTTTTATCTTTGGATAATAAATAGTTATTCCGTACTTTTTTGTCTAAAATTCTGTCTGTCATCTTGATCATGTGACCAAGATGATGAAAGTATGTACTTTCAAATGATTATTTGAAAGTAAGTCTGGCAGATATAAAAATTCATTAAAAATGTTTTGTAAATATTTAGTTATTTTTTGTGTTATGTTTAGACACAATCTCTATCCGTCTTATTCTGCTGACACAGTATTAAAGTACGGTGCTCGTTTTTCTCACATTTGTGGCGACTGATTCGTAAAAATTACAATATCTAACACATCGCACTAACATCGCCACAACAATCAAAAGCAAGAAGCCTAGCATCGCCAAAACAATCGAAAACAAGACGAACTGCAAGAACTTTCAACACCCAGTAACAAGTTGGCGCTGTACAAGTCATTCAGATCAATGGAAACTTACATCGCCCACAATATGTTTCATTATCAATTCGCATAAATAGAATGTCCAACCTACATCGATTGGACCGCGGTTCCCAGGATAACAACACCTAGCTTGAAGGAAGACAATTGCCAGTTGTTTCCTCATCCAGTAGGACCACACCTTCACCATTATGGTTCCTACAGTGGTGACACATTGTATGCACGAATAGAGAGAGAGAGAGAGAGACAGATAGAGAAAGGTATACATGGCTTCCCTGTTCGATTTATTAGGGATGTTCCGATACCAACAAGGTATCGATACCTACTCATATCAGTAGTACTCAAATAGTCTTTCGTTACTTCTCATATAAATACTCCTAATGTATCGATACTTTTAGATTATTTTTTTAATGAAATGACGGACAATAATTTTATGAGGGCAAAAAAATAAATTGAGTAATTAGGTATTTATTTTTTATTAAATTTAATGAGGAAGTATTTCAAAAATCATAACCCAGTTTTCTTTCTTGTGTAAAAGTAAATTCGTTTTCAAAACTCGATAAACAACTCATATTCTATTTGTACTTTTTCGTATATGTATTAATATCTAAGTTTCGAACTTCTCAAATTTCAGTTTTTTTAATTTGTTAGGAACAGACATGACTGTCTTTGGTCCATTCGTTTCCTGCAAAAATCAACTTTTGCTAGAGTAGCCATCTTTTTGATGCTTTCTTTTTATTTTTGAATACTTCCTCATTAAGAACAACTGGTATTTGGCTGAATGCAAATTAACAAGACATTAAATGGCGGCACGGCACGTCACACACACCAACACAGTTACATGCCATGCATTGAATGGCGCGCGCGCTTTTACCGACAACCGAGCGAGCGAGAGAAATAAGCTGTCGCTCTCTCGTTCTGTCAGATGCCTTCATTTTACATAAAATATCGCACGCACAGAACAATACTGTATAATGTCGATACTGTATTATTCGGATCATAGTGCAGTGTTGATCTGGGTGTGCGATATGGTCAGGTCTTATTTGATTCGATATCAAGTACTTTTGTTTCGATACCAAATATGTATCGCAAGATTGATTCGATACTATTAATACTTGGTATCGAATAAAAAGTATCGAGTACATACTCGTATTTACTAGTATCGAAAGATCCCTAGATTTTATCTCTGTCCTCTATCCTGTGGATTTCTCTATATGCATGATATAGAGAAGACATGTTAAGATTGACTACAAGAACTCAAACTCAAATGAAGATTTGATACGTTTTATATTATTTTGTAATGAATTATATGAAATGCAATAACTTTTAAACATGGTTGTTTGATAAACTCCTTTGCTTTTAAACTAAAACAACTGTTGTATTAACGATACTTTCTTACTTACTCTATGGTATTTTTATTTTTACCTGGCATCATTCATTGAGAATTTGAAAATAGAATCAAGTTTTGACATTTTCGGCCGTTAGATGTTTTGGATTTTTTTGGTAATTGCCAATTTCTTCGCAATTTATAGATAGGTTTTATAATACAATGCGTACTGTTTAATTTATGAACAAAGGAAAGAAAATATACCACGAACTTTCGAATAATGGGTAGCAATACAAGTAAACCGCATCAGGAACCTGTTCAGCAATCATGGATGGAGATTGAAACAGGCGACACTTCTGATCCGAGATCACCAACCCCTGAAATAGTTCGAACACCCTTACAGGTAATAATTTATTATACATATTGACACCTATAAATTCCATGTCGAGAACTTTGTGAATCTAGAACTTAATTGTATCACATTTTACGTTAATTTATTCGTCGCATTAAAAAAATTACATAAATATGAATCGATAAGCATTTCCGAAATATCAATTACACTACCTACTGTTTAAGGCTCGTGCTAAATGAATTCGTTTTCTAGGGTAAAGGCGGTTCAAAACACAACATAACAAAGAATGTTGACCTAAGAAAGACATTTGAAAACGCAAAAGAAGATGGAAAACTTATACACAATAACCCGATTCTTTCTGCGGTGATAAAAAATCATTTGCAATCTTACGATCCTAGGTCTCCAACACAAGACTTTGAACGTACACCAATTGTAATTATGGCTAAAGATGAGAAACAATCGAGGCTACATGAGGACAGTTGTGATAGTCCAATATTCAGAGATGATAATGGTATTGATTTAGATTTTTGTGAAGAAGTATCTAAAAACACAGATTCAATTGTGCCTAAAAATTTGTGTAATGAATTTTATGATTTATCTTTAAATGGTACCATAAAAGAGAGTGAAGAACCACTAGGATCATCTACAGCTTCAAATGAAGCTATAGAAAATAATATTTCTCCAAATCATGTGGAGAAAACAGCCAAACTTCTAGAGACAAACTTTGATTTTTGTGAAAATGAGAGTAATGACAAATTTGAAGATAGTGTAGAGAATATAATCAAGGTTGATAGTATGAGTGATAATGATGTAAAGAATATCCCATTATTCAAGATACTTAATGATGATCCTAGGTCGCCATCAGTTGGTATAGAACGCACACCAATAGTGGTTGCTAAAACAAATGAAAAGACAGCTATAAGTAATGTTGAAGATATGTCAGATGACTCTTTAATCAAAGTTTTGCAGAATACCAATGTTGAACTACGACAAACCGGCACTAAACCACATGACAACAACACTGATGGTTTGCTTATTTATGAAGATGAGGCACCATCTTTAAATGATACCCCAAAAAAATCAAAATCATCAAGCAATAGTGGTAGTAGGACCCCTCTATCATGTATGAAAAACAAAACTGAAACTGGGCACAGTAGATCTAAATCAGCCAATACCTTATTTGATCCAAAAAATCAGAACATAATTCAACAAAAACTTGCTAAACGTACATCACATATACCAAGACTGAAATCTCTGTCTAAACAAACTAAAGTAATCACAACCGGTAGTACTATATCACTGAAAAACATTTCTAGAGTTTCAGTTATTGGTGGAGACTGTGAGAATACACCACCACATTCACACCGTGATAGATGGGATAAAGATAACAGTATTGTACTTTGATCTCCACATTTCCTGTGGTATAGTTATTAAGGTGATATCAATCAAAATCTGTTAATTAAAACCTGTTATATTGAAGCATGAGGTATGATTAGCAAATTTGACTTTCAATAAACTCAATCATCAACTTAATTGTTAATTCCTATATTAAGTACTTTTTAGAAACTGAAATAAATGTTTGAAAAATAGTATTTCTTTCATTGTCATGTAGTGCAAAATGCAGTGAATAGATGTCAAACAAGGATTAACAGAAGTGGTAATTCTTAATTCTCTGCTATATGTATCACTTTTAATAACTTAGTTCTTTACAAAATAAAAATGCAGTCTACAGAATTCAAAACTTAATTTATTTTTTTATATTCTGTGTCGACCTAATTACCACTATTATAAAGCCTCATTTATTAGATATTTAATTTTTCAAGATTCAGTCATCTTTTACAAACTTTATGAATTATCTAATATAGAAAAATTAGTTGCTTATTATTTAGGAAACAGATTCACTTTATTAAATATGTATTTTAGAATATTCACTGCAATTTCAAGTTGACTACATAGGGCAGCACATTAAGTTACCACAAAATGATAAATATCCACAATCATCAATTTTGGAAGTTAACTGTTGTATCCGTCCATTGTCTTATCAATAAAAAACAGATAATTTTAACACTTTATTACAATTATTTTCTGTTACCTTCAAGGTACAAGTACATAAGAAAGATCTCTTTAAGCCTTAATCATAAGATTAAAATAATGACAAAGTAAAATATGACTTAAAATAGAAAGCATATCAAGTACATTATCATATGAGGTATAGTAAAGTAATGCGAACATTAGAAATAAGCAGTACCAAATATATAAAATAAGTATTACGAATTTAAAACAAAAATACATTTATGTAGGCTTTTCAGATTAGTTTGTACATGTGTTAAGCTCAAGGATCGAAATTGCTCATTGAGCGAAAAAATAGTTCAAGCGTTGTGGTCACAATAAAATATCCGCATAGCGAAACGCTCACGACGTGTTGTGGCCTTCACAGAATAACCACATAGTGAAATCCGTCCCGTGGCAGTCGTGCTATACGACACCGCTTTGTGACAATGAAGCATATGGAACCATATTTTATTAGGTTAGGTTCTAACCTAACGTGCGGTTTGTCTTACTCTAGTATGACAAACCGCACGAGCCGAGCGAGCAAAGTGAACATGCCGCGGCAGCGGCCGACGAAGCTCCAGAAGCGAATCGTTATTGTAAATGATACAGTTTACCCAATTAATGCTCAGAAAATGTCGTGGCTTTTCTTCATTGCCACAAAGCGTTAAGGTCGAATAGCATGTCAGCTACAACATGGATTTCACTATGTGGTTATTGTGCGATTGCCACAACGCGTGGTGAACTATTTTTTCGCTAAATGAGCGATTTCGATCTTTGAGCGTAACATATACAAATACATATTACTTATATTTAGTAGTTATTACGTTAATGTTGAAGTACTTTATGCCTCCCAAAGTTTATGGAATGGTTTTGAAAATGAAAATGATATTAAATTATTAACAAAGCCCGAAAAATAATATTTATATAGGCAGTTAGTCTCAATTTAGACTATATCAGCATGATTCCAGCGTCTTCACAGGCCTCGAAGAGCTAAAATAATAAAAGAAACATTTAAGGAAGTTTAATAATCATCAAATAATTGTCAATATAGTATACTTTTTAATTGTTAGGTATATTAGGATGTAAAATTATTTTTATATAAAACAAAATTAACATCACGATTAGAGAACAGTACTTTAGCAAGTAAGCCTTACAAAATCTTACAGATCTTAAATAACAGTTAACATTGTATGTTCAATTCAATCTGATATTATTCAAATAAAATTCAATCTTAAGAAAACATGTTTAAGACAAACTATAGAAAAAAAAGTCCTAAGATTGTTATTTTAAAACAGTCTTATACACAGGGTTCGCAAAAAAAACTAACTTTTATACATAATAATAATAAAAATATATCAAATTTTTTTCATATTTATAAATATATATATATATATATATATGTTTATAAATTAATTGGTCAATTTATGCAGTACTTCAATGTGTTGGCCACGTTTACAATGCTGACGGCATTTTTCTATCATTGCGGGTTGCTGATATTTTACTGTACATTATGTATGATAGGTACATATCAATGTTCATATATCGCTGAACCCTGCCACAATAGAATTATGTATTTGAATATTCAATGACATTTATATTTGCCTGTATTCCCATTAGCTACGAATGGGAAAAGAAATATTCATCCACTGGGTGTCTTTAATTAAAACGATGCGCATGAATGGCAATTTTCCGTTATTAATTTTGGCACTATCAAAAAAAAAAAAAAACTTAGTTTACTCGTACAGATAGGTATTAGGAATGTTAATTATCACTCAAACAAAACTAATATTATGCGATAAAATTGAAATGACTACTACATCTACATTTATATGTAAATAATAACATTAGAGTTGTGAGGTTTGGTTCTACGTTAACGCGTTCATAGTGAGTGCTAAGAATCTTGTATGGACATTTGTAGTTCTTGATAGTTACCGCTAGAGGCGCTGTGCCGGTTTCCATACTGAAATCATAACATACTCACAATCAAACGCGAACGTAAACATCAAAACTCATACTAAACCCTCAGCACAGAAAACGGCAAAATGAGAATTTACGTAAATTCTTTCATATATCTTAAGGTTATTTTTGACGTCTTATTTTTGGTTCTGAACAACCAACCGATGGTCATATGAAGGCGAAATTCGTTCCAGCTATTTGTTTAAATTTAAAATCTGTCACAATTCCTTTCATAGGCATGGCGAATGTGACAGCGATTTAAGAAATATAATTTTTAAAGTTTGCTGTCGCTTTTGGAACGAATGATGATTTGAATGATCAAGAAACATAACAAAAACTTATCTAAACCGGTAGAAAGGTTGCAGATAATATTCGTTCGTAACGTTCGATAGCTTTTAGAGATATTTTTTGAAATGCTTGCCTTAGATAATTCCAAGCAATGTTGAATGAACGATCATAAAATATCATTGAAGTAGGGTCGATATCACTATCGCTATCACATGTCAATTAGTTGTAGCTTGAAATTTATGATTATCTTCAAGCTTTCTCGGTGCCTACTCAACATTACGTTTTATTATATTAATCTCGATTCACACACCGTAGTGATATAATTCCAGCACAGTACCGGCACATGTATGTCTGCAGCAGTCATATTATTTTTGTAATGAACGCAAGATTTACGGTCAGTTGCACAAACATCAATTAAGGTTTAATGACGCCTTTAAGCTCTAATGAATGTCAAACTTGTATGGGTAATGTTGCTTTAAACTAATGGGAAATTATATGGACGTTTGTGCAACTGGCTGATAGTTATTACTGAGTAGTATATTAATTTTATTGTTTATTATAACAAGCATTGACGTCTCTTTATCCGTTTTCTGTACCGTCACTAATTACGACAAATCTAATATATATCTTATTAACAATTGCTACATTAACAAATTTTAACAATAAAATATATCGCCACACAGCGGACGTCAAGACATCGACAGCAATTCGCTAGGGTAATTTTTTCAACTGTGTGGCAAAAATTTAAATTCTACTACATTTTTCCTACATTTATAACATCATTTCTTCTACAGTTCTAAACATCAATGTAGGTACTACAGTGATATACGATTAAGGTTATTATGCAAGGATATAAACGAGAAAGAACCAAAATAAATTAAACATAATATACACAAACCTTACTCATCGGAGTTTTATATAAGATTAAATTAAATTGCACTAATATATAAACTAGAAATTATACATAACACTCGGTCATAATGGCTTCCAAATACTGGCTAGAAGAATAAACACTATAGAGGTAGTTTTGTAAAATTCTTATTTTAATTTTATTGGGGCTTCAAAATGACTCACATTACTATAAATGCGTTATACATTTGTGTATCAAAATTTTCATATCAATCTTGAGTAAAGGTAATAAATAACAAGTAGGTAACTATTAGATTGTACTCTTCTCGGGAGTTTAAAAAAAATGAAAAAAATATTTGTTATTATATACGTTATTATGTTTTATTCGCAAGGACAGATTAACCTTAAAGCATGTAGACAAGCCTAGGGGCCCCACGTTCTCAAGTATTTTATACTGAAGACTATATCTAAAAAAAATATATATATCTTGTTTATTTTATTGTATTTTAACTTATTCAATTTGAAAACTTTTAGACTTAAATTACGTCACACATAAAATTAACTCGATGAAACTCCCTTCGGTCAGTCAGAGTAAGTAAAGGGGGGCTCTGGGTATTGTATTGCCTAGCGGCGGCCTTTAGCAGGGTTAATCCGCAAATGCGAAACAAACAAGATAAGATAGTATTCTTAAAATGAAAAAGAATATAATAATTATTGAGATATCGTATGAGATTAAAAAAATGTTGTAACAATCAGGTAACTAGGTGAGCTTTTACACTGAAACAACATCTCACTACAAGTTAACATTAAAGCAATATCTTAAACCTCTACATTAACACGCGTCATATGATATATTTCCGTCGCCCTATATTTCAAAGCTCGATATTTTAGGATGTTGAAATTAATTTAGTAATAAAACTCTTTTTTAAGCTCATTTTCGCATAAACTTCTGAAATCAGCTTTTACGTCCCCACTGCAGGGGATGAGGCCTTCCTTATGGATGGTTTATAAAACCTTTAATGTGTCACGAGTTTCTCGTACTTTACATTGTCCCTCGGCCACCAGGTGTTCCAGCAATTCCGCACTGGGTACTGAAATATCAAGCTTTAGAAAGCTCTTGCACATTATCACGAACTCTTAAGACTATATATGCAATAGGAGTAATACTTTAGAGAACTTTGAATATTTCTCTGCATAAAGAGTCACCGAGATACGGAAAAATATCAATGAATATGCGTGGTATTCCCTAACGAAGCAAAATCTTCATGTGTTCAGTTCTCCTTTTCATTTTTATCGCCTCCAGCCGACTCTGTCAGAACGGTTAGTATAATGTTAATAAAAACCACACATTCAAATATTTAGTAAGTTCTATTACATACATGGGTGGGGTTTCACAAATAACTAAACGTTTTCCAGGGATTAAGGAGGTACAGCACGGGTAGCATGACAAACTCGAGAATGCTTTGTCTAAACCAAACGTGACTTTTCTTGAGACGAGAGTGAGATATCGTATCGAGAAAAGTGTCATTTGGGTTTGAGTTTTGGTTCTAGTATTGATTTGATTTCTACTCTCATAACTTAGCAAGGTAATCAACTGGAAAGCTAGTGAAGTATAATCATTAAATACAGTAGATGTTCGGTTGACAAAAAACCCTTACATAACAACTCAATATAAAATTATCATGAACCTATTTATTTGCATGTCAAAAGTTTATACGATGTTGTAATATAATCTTATATTATGAAAGACGTATGTAGTATGTTCTTATAAATGAAGTTTATTTACATGATAACATATTTCAGTAGTGCGACCTCCCAACTCTCTGGCCATTAGGATACGATATTTTTGCGAAGTTATGGTGATATTTCGTTTCATTTTACTACTAAGGGTAGTCATGGCTAGAGAGTTAGGAAGTCGCACCCCTGATATAAAAAAATCTCATGCACATATCCTGTTACCACACTGGCGGGTCTAATGAAAACATGAATTTTTAAAATAACTGTATTTTCTCGCTATTATTTACAGAACCTGGCTGTATCATTAAAACTCAAAATACCTATATCTTATACATATAGGTATCGTGTTTCTTTACTTGTTTGTTTGACCACCCATAAGTAAATGTTAGGTACGCCCATAAACCCTTTTACTTAAAGTAGATTTCTTAAGTTGATAATTTCTTAAGTTAAGAAAGTAGATTGAGTTTTGTCTGGTACCCTATATAGTTATAAGTGATTTGATATAACATATTGATCGCAAAGTGCCAATATCACATAACTGTAATTTTTGGATAAAGTTTTGTTTTTGATATTTATGTTTAATAATAAAGTCTTTGAATAAAAATGTAAAAAAAAAAGATATCGAAAAATATCATTTAGAAAGTATCAGCCATATAGTGTTATATATGATGTTTATTTTATTTTATTTTTTTACCTTGTCACAGATTTAATGGTGTATATATTTAGGATTCATAAATGGATGAGGAATATGGCAATTTGGTTTTTTAAATTCCTATAAGGATGAAGATAGCAAAACCATGTAGTTAGTGCAATAATATATTAATCAAATAAATCCAGTTACCTTGTTCTTCTTGTTGAGTATTCTGTGCAATGAATTCACGCAGATCTGAATATGCTTTCTCCACATTATCATTCATGATTACAATATGAAAATTATTGGGTTGGTTGCCTGAAACGACAAAACAAAACAATTAATTTGCTTTTATCCGAGGAATCTATTTATTCGTGATATTTCATGAATAGAAGCTGTATATATTTAAATAATATAATTGTCTCAGACCAAATAAAAAGTATAGACGGAGTTTTGCCTAATAGAAAAAACTACGCCTCGGCGTATTCGTACACAGTTTCACGTACACACTCGTAACGAAACTACGCCTTCCCTATCGCCTAGGCGCCTATTACACTACCCAATCTATCGGGCCCGATCCATCGGGTACACTGTAAATTGGGTAGTCTAATCGCAGTTAGAGAGTTAGGGTCCCGATATCGGGTGAACGAGGGCGCCCGATCGCCCGATGAGAGTTAGGGCCGATTTATCGGGTAATGTGATCGCTGTTAGGGTGTTTGAGCGCTCAGTCGGTTGTTGCGCAGCGTGCGTGTGAGACGTCAGTGAACAACAACGAAATTTGCGAACAGACAAAAATGGAAACAATAAACTTATTGAGTATTTATACTTTAAGTCATGATATGCATTTCCCGTTGCTAAAAATTATAAGGTTACAGCATAGCTAACCGCTGTTTTGCGCTATATAAGGTATGACTAAGTTTAATATATGATCAAATTGTGCAGAACTCATTCTGTAGTAGTTCAAACTGCATAGTTGGTCATTTAGAAGCAAATATTTTTCACCCAACATTTTGTTTTATTATTTACGCCCGCAGTTAAAGTATGGGCTATGCCAATTTTTTGGTACTTCGTGAGCGAAGGAGCCATCCTTTCAACGCCACGTTTGCATGCCAACTGAGTTAGGGAGGCGATCTAGTGCAGTGTAATCACAACGACACCAACCGCCCTAAATCGTGGCCGATATATCGTGCCCGATAGATTGGGTAGTGTAATAGGCGCCTTACTATCGACAGTGTGCGGAACGTTTCGTTATAAAAAAAAAACAAAAATTTCTTACTAAATGCCGAATTGTGTAATGAAAGGTTGTAAAAACCAATCCTCAAAAATTAAAAGCAGGATGGAATGACATTTCACACGTAAGTATTGGATAAAACTTAAATTTTCAGTAATTTAAAAATAAAATTTGCTTGGAACACAAAACCTCAGCCAAATATTAGCATCATTAAACGTTATTATTTACCCCGAAATCAGGTAACTTTAATTTGTTACCAAAAAGAAAGTAGGACGAGATGGACGACCTATCTTTCTAATCACGTGTTTTTATAAACCAATTATTGAATCCAAAGGCAAACCAGGGTTTAAAAGCACATTAATAAATATACAAAGTCTGAAAGTGCTATACACGAAATATAATTATGAGTCTGAAAAAAGGCTAATTTTCTTACAGACTTATAAACTAACAATAAGTCAAGATCACCTAGAAATATTATTTACATCAATCAGAATGCGCGGAGGCTTTAATGATAATCCAAATGTAAAACAATTTAAAGGAAGTTACAATAAGATACTGTCACATTTAGAATTAAAGAGTCTTTCGAAAGGTAATTGCGTGCCGTTAGAAAATATAGCAATTATTAAGTGTACTTCAACGATTCAAAATATAAACAGCATTTCGCGGTCTTACAGATATGAAGAAGAAGAATGGAATGATACGTCTTCATTGCAACTTCTTCGAGACGTTGTCAATGAATCAGTAGATTTAGCTAATTATCTAAATGATTATACTTATGACGATTATAGATAAATAATAATCGATTACATATCAGGGAGTACAATACGATAATTAAATAAAATAATAAAATGTTCCGAATGTTTAGAAAGTTTACAGACTGATGAGAAACTCTATTTTCACAGGCCTTCGTTTCCCGTCAAAAGATCTTTCTGATATTTGTGTCCTTTGTGAATCGATTATTCGGAAATTATTAGTTAAAAAAATTGTTATTACCGCAGAAAATCAACACAAAACTATTGTCATGAATAAATTAAAACGCTTTATAGGAAAAAATAGTTTTTGTTAATTTCAGAGAAAAAACACGAATATTTTGGTCATGAACATAAAATTCATTTAATACGCTGCGTAATTGATAAATATTTAAGCATACGGTTTCATCATATTGCTAAGTTGGAAACTATTACAAAAACAATAGACAGTAAAAGACAATCTTACAAGAAATTGATCCAATATAAAGGTTTTTAATAAGTAGAATAACACTAGACAAATAATATAAGCTTTTGTGGATAACTTAATATACACTTGACTTGGCCATATCGTTCGCATAAATGACTGAGTCATTGTTTCTAAAAATCCTTAAAAATGAGAAAAACAAGTTACATGCAGTTATAAAGTACCTGTAGTTTAAAAAAAATATCCACTAAAGAAATATTTTTGGATCTCATCATTTAGATATCAACTTCATTATCGTTTACTGGGTTGCTGAATTTAAAACACGAAGATCGAACTGTGAAGAACAATCCATTTATTTGATTGAACAAGAGACATTCCATTGTAAAATAACTTCTGAAGCATGAAATAAAGTAGAAGAAATAAGCCGCCCTGCTTTTTTTTTACTTGTAAATGGTTTTGAATTTATAAATAAACAAAGCTAATATTCGGTAGTGTTATTCTTGATGCACCTTTTCTATTTCAATATGCTGATATTGACAAACGAATTTACATTATATTATTAAATAGCATAGCATTAACGTTAACTCTATAACGTCGTAATGTTAAGTTATTGGGGTGTATTTAATGACTATGGTCACACTGGCACGCACACTACAATTGCTAAAAACGGCTTTACTTTGTTGTTCAGCGGACTCCGTCTTTACTTTTTATTTGGTCTGAGATAATTTTATTATTAGCATAGGTTGGTAAAGACGATTTCATTTAACTATTCTCTATAACTACTTGTAAAAAAATCATGGATAGTCTCTGACTATTACTTGTGTTGTTCTGCCAAACATATTATGAACCTAGTTCAAATATATATTACCTACAATTTCTTTGACACTATAGACTATTACTGGATTGAATACAGTTAAAATTTTGCATTGAAAAAAGCATTAACAAACTGACATAACTTAAAAAAAAACAGAAAATTTTTTCCATTTTCATCTAAGAATATAGGTTGCAATGGAGAAAGTCCAGCATGAATTGTACCTTTATGCAACTTAAAAAATGCCAATTTAGCTAAATACATTTATGCTGTGTCCCTAGCCTACACATATAATCTTAATCCACACAATTTGTCTTTATTGTGATTTATATACAAAGACAGTTTAAATGTAATATAATAATAATTATTTATAAAATAAAATTACTAATTCATTACAACATATAATTTAAAATCCATATTGAATGTTACTAAATATAAATCATAATATTTTCTACCTAATGGGCCGCTTACTAGATTACATTATTGGAAAATATTCCAATAACAAAAATATGTTTCAAGTCCCATATCAGAGTACTCAATCCTGGTGGATGTTTTAAGCATTTTTCATTATGAATATTTATAGCAATATAGCATTGTGAATGCCAAATTGATCCAATATAACATTATTACCAATTGTATCATGATAATAACCTTTTATCAGATGACGAAGCTGGGTCGAGTCAGATGACGAAGCTGAAGATCGACGACGGTAGGATCGTATCTTCAAAACCGGAGATTCTGATTGAGCTTGAGAGGTTTTATGGACAGTTGTACACATCATCACAACAACCCGTTGAAAGCAATGCTCAGGACACCAGAGCAAAGCTGACCCGACATCACACCGAGGATATCCCAGACATCAGCCTGTACGAGATTAGAATGGCACTCAAACAGCTGAAGAACAACAAGGCACCGGGGGATGACGGAATCACTACTGAACTTTTGCGAGCGGGTGGAAAACCGGTACTCTTAGTCCTCCAGAAATTGTTCAATTCCGTCATTCTCGAGGGTACGACGCCAGAAGCGTGGTTGTACTCTTCTTCAAAAAAGGTGACAAGACCTTGTTGAGGAATTATAGACCAATCTCGCTTCTGAGCCACGTTTATAAGCTGTTTTCGAGGGTCATTACGAATCGTCTCGAACGCCGGTTTGATGACTTCCAGCCTCCCGAACAAGCCGGTTTCCGAAAAGGCTTTAGCACCATAGACCACATACATACGCTGCGGCAGATTATACAGAAGACCGAGGAGTATAATCTGCCACTTTGCTTAGCGTTTGTGGATTATGAGAAAGCCTTCGATTCAATCGAAACCTGGGCAGTACTGCAGTCCCTCCAGCGATGCCAAATCGACTACAGGTACGTCGAAGTGTTGAAGCGTTTGTATAGCAACGCCACAATGTCGATTCGCTACCAGGAAGAGCACGAAACCAATCCAATTGCGCAGAGGCGTGAGACAGGGAGATGTAATTTCTCCGAAACTGTTCACGAATGCATTGGAGGACGTCTTCAAGCTCTTGGAATGGGACGAATATGGCATCAACATCAATGGCGAATACATCACTCACCTTCGTTTCGCCGATGATATAGTCATCTTGGCAAGATCGATGGAGCACATCAGTACAATGCTCAGCGACCTGAGTATCGTTTCCAAACAGGTGGGTCTTAAAATGAACATGAACAAGACGAAAATCATGTCGAATGTCCATGTTGCACCCGTACCGGTGGTCATTGGAACTGATACTCTCTAAGTTGTCGATCACTACGTGTACCTTGGACAGACAATCCAGTTAGGTAGATCCAATTTCGACAAAGAGGTCGCTCGAAGAATCCAACTCGGCTGGGCAGCGTTAGGGAAGCTACGCGATATCTTCACGTCCAAATTACCACAGTGAATAAAGACGAAGGTGTATAACCAGTGTGTGTTGCCAGTGATGACCTATGGCACTGAAACGTGGTCCTTAACTGCTGGCCTCTTAGAGAAGCTCAGAGTCGCTCAGCAAGGCATGGAGAGAGCTATGTTAGGGGTTTCTTTGCGCGATAGGATCCGAAACGTGGATATTCGCCAAAGAACTAGAGTGACCGACATAGCTCGCAAAGTTTGT